TGACGCATCTCACATTGGGCTTGGTGCAGTATTAATGCAAGATGGCAAGGTAATTGCATATGCGCCACAGCAGTTAAAAGTTCNTAATTGTATATGCATCGCGACAATTGAAGGTCTACGAGAAGAATTATCTTGTTCATGATTTAGAATTGGTAGCCATTGTTCTTGCACTGAAGATTTGGAGGCAATACCTCTACGGTGTCTCGTGTGAGGTATTTACTGATCAACGTAGCCTTCAGTATCTGTTCAAACAAAAGGATCTTAATTTGAGGCAGAGAAGATGGTTGGAGTTGTTGAAAGACTATGATATCACCATTTTGTATCACCCCGGAAAGGCCAATATGGTGGATGATGCTTTGAGTAGAAAGGCTGTGAGTATGGGCAGTATTGCGTATATTCCGGTTGGTGAGATTTTACCCCGGCAGGTCCGATAGTTGAAGAATAGGTAACTGCTACTAGAATAAAATGTGCTGACTTGGTCTCTCACTAATCGGAATATATGCAAGGCTACCCATACTCACAGCCTTTCTACTCAAGGCATCGGCCACTACATTGGCCTTCCCGGGATGATATATCATAGTCTTTCAACAACTCCAACCATCTTCTCTGCCTCAAATTAAGATCCTTTTGTTTGAACAGATACTGAAGGCTACGTTGATCAGTAAATACCTCACACGAGACACCGTAGAGGTATTGCCTCCAAATCTTCAGTGCAAGAACAATGGCTACCAATTCTAAATCATGAACAAGATAATTCTTCTCGTAGACCTTCAATTGTCGCGATGCATATACAATTACCCTACCATCCTGCATCAATACTGCTCCGAGCCCAATACGCGATGCATCACTATACACCGTGTAGGATCCTGAACCTGTGGGCAATACCAATACCGTACCTGTAGTCAAAGCAGTCTTGAGCTTATGCAAGCTCAGTTCGCACTCATCGGACCATCTGAATGGTGCACCCTTCAGGATCAATCTAGTTAATGGGGCTGCTATGGATGAAAACCCCTCCACGAACCCGGGATAATAACCCACCAAACCCAAGAAACTCTGAAACTCTGTAGCTGAAGTAGGTCTAGGCCAGTTCTGAACTGACTCAATTTTCTTAGGATCTAATTTTATGCCCTCGGCCGATACAACTTGCCCCAAAAAGGCGACTGAATCCAACCAGAACTCACACTTTGAAAACATGGCATATAGCTGACTATCTCTCAGAGTCTGAAGTAGGTCTAGGCCAGTTCTGAACTGACTCAATTTTCTTAGGATCTAATTTTATGCCCTCGGCCGATACAACTTGCCCCAAAAAGGCGACTGAATCCAACCAGAACTCACACTTTGAAAACATGGCATATAGCTGACTATCTCTCAGAGTCTGAAGTACAATTCGAAGATGCTGTTCATGCTCCTCCCGACTGCAGGAGTAGATCAAGATATCATCAATGAATACGATCATAAAAGAATGAAAATATGGCTTAAATACCCGATTCATCAAATCCATAAATGATGCTGGGGCATTTGTCAACCTAAATGACATAATTAGGAACTCATAATGCCCATACCATATCCGAAAAGCTATCTTAGGGACATCTGATGCCCTAATCTTCAACTGATGGTAGCCAGACCTCAAATCAATCTTCGAAAACACTTTGGCACCCTGAAGCTGGTCAAATAAATCATCAAACCTCGGCAACGGATACTTGCTCTTGATAGTGACTTTGTTCAACTGCCGATAGTCTATACACATCCTCATCGAACCATCTTTCTTCTTCACAAACAACACGAGTGCACAACAAGGCGAGACACTAGGTCTAATGAATCCCTTATCAAGTAAATCTTGCAACTGCTCCTTCAGTTCCTTCAACTCAGATAGGGCCATACGATATAGAAATGGGCTGAGTGCCCCAAGCCAAATCAATACAGAAGTCAATATCTCTGTTGGGTGGAAACCCCGGTAGATCTGCAGGAAACACCATTGGATATTCACGCTCAACCGGTACTAAATCCATGGAAGGAACCTCCACACTAGAGTCATGAATATAGGCCAAGTAAGCTAGACAACCTTTCTCGACCAAATGCCGAGCCTTTACATAAGAAATAACACTACTGGTAGAATGGCTAGGAGTCCCTCTCCACTCTAATGAAGGCAACCCCGGCATAGCTAAGGTCACCGTCTTAGCGTGATAATCCAATATAGCATGATAAGGTGATTGCCAATCCATGCCCAAAGTAACATCAAAGTCTACCATATCAAGAAGTAGGAGATTCACACTAGTCTCAAAACTCCCAATAGTAATCCCACACGAGCGATTGACACGGTTTACAATGATAGAATCTCCCACAGGCATGGACATATATACAGGATCACTCAAAGAATCACGAGGCACAACCAGATATGAAGCAATATAGGATGACACATAGGAAAAAGTAGAGACCCAATCAAATAGAACTGAAGCATCTCTATGGCAAACTGGAACAATACTTGTGATAGCGGCGTCAGATGACACGGCCTCAGGTCTAGTTGGGAATTCATAAAAATGAGGCTGGACCCCGCCACACCGACCTCCGCCTATCATACAACCTCTAGCTGGCTGGCCTCCACCTTTAATGGCCTGACCTCTACCTCTAATGGTCTGACCTCCACCTCTAGCTGGCTGAGCAGGTGGTGAAGCAACCGGTGCCGAAACCATGGGACGAGAACTCAGCTGTGGCATGCTGCTCGACAATCTAGGACATTACCTCCTGATGTGACCTGTACCTACACACTCAAAACACTCAACCGTCTGTTACGGCTGCTAAAACTGAAACTGACCCGAACGGGCCGGATAACCATGCTGGTAGCTCTAGATCAATGGGTGAACTGCTGATAAACTAGATAGCAATGCAAGCTTGTAGGCCACCTCACCCACTTTCTCAAGAATCTCGAAAGGTTCGATATACCTAGGGATAAACTTGCATTTCTTTCCGAACCTCATCACACCCTTCATGGGCGAAACTCGGAGCAAACCCCTCTATCCAACCATGAATGCAACATCACAAACTCTACGATCGGCAAAACTCTTCTGCCTAGAATGAGTTGTGAGAAGTCGATCCTTAAGCATCTTGACCTTTTCCAAGGAATCATAAACCAAATCGATATCCAACAATCGAGCCTCTCCCAGCTTAAACCAAACAACTGGCGAACGATACCACCTCCTATATAATTCCTTATAGGGGCCATCTGAATACTCGATTGGTAGTTATTGTTGTTGTAGGCAAACTCCGCAAGCGGCAAGAACGGATCCCAAGAACCCCCAAAATCCATAACGCATGCGTGAAGCATATCCTCCAATATCTAAATGGTGTGCTCGGCCTGTCCGTCTGTCTGGGGGTTAACTCACATTGTACGGCCCTCTAGAAGTGTGATGTGAACTGCTTACCCCGATCAAAAATGATGGACACTGACACACTATGAAGACGGACGATCTCGCGGATATAGATCTCAGCTAACCGCTCTAAAAAATAGGTAACTGCTACTGGAATGAAATATGCTGACTTGGTCAACATGTCCACAATGACCCATACCGCGACGAATTTCTTCGATGTCCATGGGAGCTCAACAACAAAATCCATAGTAATACGCTCCCACTTCCACTCGAGAATATCAAGCTTCTGAAGTAAACTGACAGGCTTCTGATATCGTACTTTACTTGCTGACAATTCAGACACTGAGCCACATAAGCAACTATATACTTCTTCATCTTCTCTACCAATAATGCTGCCTTAAGTTCTGATACATCTTGGGGGCACCCGGATGACTGAGCTCGCAAACTGTGGTCCTCCTCAAGAATTAACTCACGAAGCCCATCCACATTCGGCACACAAATCCGATCATGTATCTGCAACACCCTATCATCTCCAACAGTAACCTGCTTGGCACCACCGTGCCACACCGTGTCCTTAAGGACAAGCAAATCGGGGTCGTCATACTGACGCTCTTTGATGCGCTCATACAAAGAAGACCGGGAAACTGTGCAAGCTAGAACACGACTAGGCTCCGAAACATTTAACCTCATAATTTAATTGGCCAAGGCCTGAACATCTGATGCTAGCGGTATCTGACTAACCGGAATATATGCAAGGCTACCCATACTCATAGCCTTTCTACTCAAGGCATCGTCCATTACATTGGCCTTTTCGAGATGATACAAAATGGTGATATCATAGTCCTTCAACAGCTCCAACCACCTACGCTACCTCAAGTTGAGATCCTTTTGCCTGAACAAATACTGTAGACTCCGGTGATTTGTGAATAACTCACACGACACGCCGTATAGGTAATGCCTCCAAATCTTTAGTGCATGAACAATGGTTGCCCACTCTAAGTTATGAACATGGTAATTTTCTCATGAACCTTCAACTGCCACGGCGCGTATGCAATTACCTTGCCATCCTGCATCAATACTGTACCGAGCCCAATACGCGATGCATCACTATACACCGTGTAGGATCCTGAACCTGTGGGCCATACCAACACCGGACCTATAGTCAAAGTAGCCTTGAGCTTCTGAAAGCTTAATTTACACTCATCGGACCACTTGAATGGAGCACCCTTCTGGATAAATCTAGTTAATGGGGCTGCTATGGTTGAAAACCCCTCCATGAACTGGGGATAATAACCCACCAAACCCAAGAAACTCTGAATCTCTGCAGCTGAAGTAGGTCTAGGCCAGTTTTGAACCGACTCAATCTTCTTAGGATCTAATTTTATGCCCTCGGCTAATACAAAATGCCCCAAAAAAGCGACTGAGTTCAACGAGAACTCACACTTTGAAAACATGGCATATAGCTTACTATCTCTTAGAGCCTGAAGTATAATCCGAAGATGTTGTTCATGCTCCTCCCGACTACAGGAGTAGATCAATATATCATCAATGAATACGATCACAAAAGAATGAAAATAGGGCTTAAATACCCGATTCATCAAATCCATAAATGATGTTGGGGCATTTGTCAACCCCAATAACATAAGTAGGAACTCATAATCCACATACTGTGTCCACAAAGCTATCTTAGTGACATCCGATGCCCTAATCTTCAACTGATTGTAGCTAGACCTCAAGTCAATCTTCGAAAACACTTTGGCACCCTGAAGTTGGTCAAATAAGTCATCAAACCTCGACAGCGGATACTTGCTCTTGATAGTGACTTTGTTCAACTGCCGATAGTCTATATTCATCTTTCTTCTTCACAAATAACACGAGCGCACCCCAAGGCGAGACACTAGGTCTAATGAATGCCTTATCAAGTAAATCCTACAACTGATCCTTCAGTTCCTTCAAATCAGATGGGGCCATACGGTATAGAAATGGGCTGAGTGCCCCGAGCCAAATCAATACAGAAGTCAATATCTGTATCGGGTAGAAACCCCGACAGATCTGCAGGAAACACCTTTGGATACTCACGCACAACCGGTACTGAATCCATAGAAGGAACCTCCACATTAGAATCGTGAATATAGGCCAAGTAAGGTAGACATCCCTTCTCGACCAAATGCCGAGCCTTTACATAAGAAATAACCCTACTAGTAGAATGGCCAAGAGTCCATCTCCACTCTAATCAAGGCAACCCCGGTATGGCTAAGGTCACCGTCTTAGCATGATAATCCAATATAGCATGATAAGGTGATAGCCAATCCATGCCCAAAGTAACATCAAAGTCTACCATATCAAGAAGTAGGAGATCTACACTAGTCTCAAAACTCCCAATAGTAATCCCACACGAATGATTGACACGGTTTACAATGATAGAATCTCACACAGGCATGGACACATATACAAGATCACTCAAAGAATCACGAGGCACAACCAGATATGAAGCAAAATAGGATGACACGTAGGAATAAGTAGAGCCCCAATCAAATAGAACTGAAGTATCTCTATGGCAAACTGGAACAATACCTGTGATAACGGCATCAGATGACACGGCCTCAGGTCTAGTTGGGAATGTATAAAAAGGAGGCTGGACCCTGCCACCCCGACCTCTGCCTCTCGGACGACCTCTAGCTAGCTGGCCTCTACCTCTAATGGTCTGGCCTCCACCTCTAGCTGGTTGAGTAGGTGGTGAAACAACCGGTGCCGAAACTATGGGACGAGAACTCTGTTGTGGTATGATGCTCGACAATCTAGGACAGTACCTCCTGATGTGACATGTACCCCCACACTCAAAACACCCATCCATCTATTATGACTGTTGAAGCTGAAACTGACCCAAACGAGCCGGATAACCACGCTGGTAGCTCTAGATCAGAGGCGCATTAATAAAAGCTGATGGTGCACTGTAAGCCGGCTGCCCAGGATGAGATACATAAGGGCCACTACTGCCCGAAACACTGTAGGATTCCTGAAGCGCTTACTGAAATGGCCTAGGAGGATGGCCTCTACCTAAAGTATCCCTGCCTCCAGATGAGGCACCACTGAAACCACTGAAATGAGGAGGCCTCTTATCAGACACCGACCTCCTCTCCTGACCACAAACCATCTCGATTCGTCTAGCAATATCTACGGCCCTCTGGAAAGAAATATCATCCTTAGTCTTCTTGGCCATCTGTAGCATGATACTGAAATTGAGCCCATAAATGAATCTCCTCACTCTCTCCCTCTAAGTAGGGAGCAGGACAATAGCATAGCGAGCTAGGTCCACAAATCGAGTCTCGTACTGGGTGACAGTCATGTCCCCCTACTAAAGGCGCTCAAACTGCATGCGATACTCATCTCTCATAGTTAAAGGAATGAGCTTCTCTAGAAATAGTTGTGAAAATTGACCCCAGGTAAGTGAAGGCGAACCAACTGGTCTAGTCAACACATAATCTCTCCACCATCTTTTGGCAGAACCAGTCATTTGGAACATTGCAAAGTCGACCCCATTGGTCTCAACAATAACCACATTATGCAACACCCCATGGCAATGATCCAAGTAATTATGTGGGTCTTCTGAAGGTGCATCATTGAAAAGAACAGGAAAGAGGTTGGTAAACTTATCCAACCTCATCAAGGCCTCAGAAGATACAGTGGGCCTATCCCCGACCTGTGCCGCAATAACCGACTGAACTACCCTAACTGGCTGTGCTGGTGGATTCTGATATAAGGGAGCCATCTGCTTCAGAGTGTGAGTAGCGGGAGTTTGTGCTCCTCCCCCATCCTGAGAGGTGGTTGGTGCCACCGGAAATGTATCGGTCTGGGCCACACTCTCCATAAGGGCCACCAAGTGGACTAGAGCATCATGAAGCACCGGAGTGGCTATGAATCCCTCCAGGACTTGAGTCGGTCCGACGGGTACGGTCTGAGCTGGGATCTCCTCCTCATGATCAATCTGAGGCTCTCATGCGGCTACTGTTGCTGAAGCTCTAGGTTGGAGTCTACTTCGACCTCGGCCTCTGGTAGTAGCTGCCATAGGGGGCTCTGGCTCCCTTCCTGCTGTAGACGTTGTGCGTGTTCCCACCATCCTCGAGAGAGCAAGAATAGAATTATTCAATCATCAATGATAGAATAACAATGCATGATAGAGAAAGAAAGAAGTGAAATTTTTCATAAAGCTCTATAGCATCTGGAAGATAAGTACAGACGTCTTCGTACCGATCCTCCAGACTCTACTAAGCTTGATCATGACCCGTGAGACCTAGGTAACCTGGCTCTGATACCAACTTGTTAAGACCCAGAAATTTCACCCTAGGGACCGTGATGATGCCTAACATTTCACTTGCTAGGCAAGCCAACGTTAGATATAATTATTAACCATTTTTTAACAATTCAAATCAAATGAAAATCAATAAGTTGAATAGTCTAAAATTGAGTGAATAAACTAATAAACGACGAAATCCAAATACAGTCCCAAAACAGGTGTCACGAATACACTAGCGTCTAAAGTACTACAAATAATAATATGAATAAAAACATAACTGTCTGAATCAAAATAAATAGCTAAGATGATATAGGAAGGGACGTCAGGATTGCGAACGTCGTGCAGCTATACCTCAAGTCTCCGATGGTAGTCAAATCTGAGCGACCTTACTGAACGCTGCCAGGACCAACTCTGGTATCTGCACAAGAAGTACAGAGTGTAGGATGAGTACAACCGACCCCATGTACTCTGTAAGTGTCGAGCCTAACCTCGACGAAGTAATACCAAGGCTAAAGCGAATACTTACATTAACATGTACGCAGTAATAATAATAATAACAGGGAAAGAAAAGAGGAAATGAAATCATGCCAGTTAATTTACGAAAATGAACTCAAACCTTACTATCAGAAAGCCAAGAATAACAAACCTTGTAATCTCATGTAAAAGTGTTAAAACTAACACAACAACAACAACAACAAGTACAACACACATAATCCATTTTGGCGCGCAACCCGATCCCACCGTAACATCCTTTATCAATATCAAATATTATGTGAACAATTCGTTGCGATGTGCAACCCGATCCCACCATATCATTATTAATCAATATAATAATCCTCTCTTATTTCACCATATAATTATTTATCAATATCAATTATTACGTACACAAACAGTTGTGGCGCGCAACCCGATCCCACCATATCCTTATTTATCAATATCATAATCCTCTCTTATTCCACCATATCAATTTATTATCCTTCAATTCCTGTTGCGGCGTGCAAGCCGATCGACAAACAATTTCAATAAACATAAACAATCCAATAACTCGATTTACAAGAATTTCTACAATCAAAGAGTATGAGTGCAAGGACATAAAGTAACCACGTAATAATCAAAGGAATGCAACAAATATTACGAGAAAAAAAAAAAGCAGGACAAGTAAAGCACGTGATAATTAAGGTGTGCAAGTAAAATAGTTAAGGCAAGTGGGAAATAAGCACGGAGTCATGGAAGGGAGGAACAGTTCAATACGAGAATACTTACATGACAAATAACAAATTACGGCATAGAAGGCTATAAAAGCATGTAACAATTAAGGCATGAAATGAGATAATTCATAAAATAAAGAGAAAACATGGAAAACAAATATTTTGATGGCGTATATACACTCGTCACCTCGCATATATGTCATTTTCTCAAATAATCTACACAACACATAGTTCACAAATTCCGAATTCCCTCGAGTCAAGTTTAGATCCAATATTTACCTCGCTCTGCAATCAAATGAAAGCTCAATCGAGGCCTTTCCTCTAAAATTCGCCTCCAAACCGATCAAATCTAACAAAATATAATTCAAACAATTTAAAATAAGCTTTAGAAACTACCCACAAGTGAAAAAGATTCAATCTTTAATGAGTTTGGAAACAAAAGTCAACCCGAACCCGCGTGGCCAAAACTCGAGATTCAGACCAAAACATAATTATACATTCCCCCTCGAGCCCGATTATGTGATTAGTTTTGAAATCCGACCTCGATTCTAAATCTCAATTTCTCAAAGTTCCTAATTTCTACCTAAATCCCTAATTTCTACCATGAATAAGCATAGATTAAAGGTTGGAAATCAATGGGTCTTGATGAAAATGGAAGAAAACGAGTTAACTTCTACTAACCTATGAAGTTAGGATGAAATTTCTCTTCAAAATCGCCTCTAGGCCGAGCTCAAACTCGAAAATGGTAAAAAATGAAGAAAATCCCAAATTTGGAATATTTAAGTCACTGGGTGTCAGGCCTTCTTCGCATTCGCGAAGGGCCTAACGCGTTCCCGATGCACAACAACCAGAATGGATTACGCGTACGTGATGTGACTCACGCGTTCGTGAAGGCTTCTCCCCCCTGGCCTTCGTATTCGCGAGCCAGGGCTCGCGTTCCCGTAGAGTAACAGTCACGTCCATTCCCATGTCCCCTTAACCCTACGCGTTCGCGAGATGCTGGTTGCGTTCGCGAAGGGTAACCCCTCCACTGCTTCGCATTTGCGACTAAACCATCACATTTGCGATGATGAAATCCGCCCCCAGCCCAACTTCCCCTTCGTGACCGCGAAGCACAATACGACAGATACCAATTATTAGCAAACCAGTAGCTATCCAAGTCAAAAAATCAATCTGTAACCTATCTGAAACTCACCTGACCCCCTCGAGCTCCAAACTAAACATACACACAAGTGAAATAACATCATATGAACTCTCTCGCGCTATCGAAATACCAAAATAACACCTAGAACAACGAATTGTAGATCAAAACGTATGAATTTTTCAATGAAACTTAAGAACTTTCAAATTTACAACTGGACGTTCGAATCTCGTCAAATCAACTCCATTTTGCATCAAATTTTGCACACAAGTCATAAATAGTAAAATGGACCTATACTAATTTCGAAAACCGAAATTCGAACCCGGTAGTAACAAAGTTAACCTACAGTCAGACTTAGAAATTCTTTAGACCTTCAAATTGTTAGTTTTCAACAAATCACATTAAATCAAGTTAGGGACTTTCGAATTCGATCTCGGGCCTACGCCCAAGTCCCATATCACGATACAATCACCGGGACCGTCAAAATATTGATTCGGGTCCATTTACACAAAATATTGACCGTAGTCAACTCAAATCATTTTTAAGGCAAAAATTCACATTTTCTTAAATTTTTCACCTAAAGACTTTCCGAAACAAGACACGAACTGGACATGTAAATCGAAGAACACTAAACGGAGCTAATCGAGGTCTCGGAACACGGAAATAAAGGCTAAAACTCAAAATGACCTATCGGGTCATCACAATTGTATGTCTATTATATATGAATTATGCATATATTATACATAAGTCGGCTATTTTGAGTTTAAATAATTGGGTAGACGACTGTTTAGGTTAATTCTTCAAAATTTGTTTATTCATATAAAATGAATTTTTTTCATGAAGAAATGTCGGATAATAACATTTACTAAAGGTGTCCCTATTTGTGGTAAAAAAATATCAAGGTCCTTCGATAAGACAGGACATCATGAAAATGTCTCAACATATCAATGTTCAGACATAGTTAGGTTTTCGTAGAGGTTTGATTTGGACCAAACAACCTATAGGGAAAATATGCCAAAGATATTTTCTAATACACAGTGCATTGTACAATACCAGCAACTGCATGCATATATATGTTAAAGTAAATTGAAAGTTCTTATAAACAGAGTTTTCCAAGTACCAAACATATGTACCAACTGTTGTCTTCGTATGTATTTGTCTGTACCTTCTTGCCTTTGGAATCTAAGAGAAGATTATGATAGATTGATTGAGGGGGTAGAAATTGCTTTTTGATTCATTTGGGGTGGTTGGTGAAATTATTTTTTTCTGTTTGGCCTTCTGTTTTTTACAAAGTAATTATATGTGGGCACAAGCGAATCCAATATTTAAATTTGATTGATTCAACTTTTAAGATTTTTAGCATTGAAATCATTATACTGTTAAAATTATGGGTTTAAATTTAATACTAAATGAGATTTTAGTAGGTCTTTACATATAAATCTATACTTCGTGTCAAAAGTTATGGGTTCAATTGAACTCGTGGCCTAAAGGCTACATCCGCCCCTACACGTAGGCATAAGAGGGTCCAATATTTAAATTTAATAGTTTTAACTTTTAAAACTTTTAGTATTGAGCTC